ATTTGATAAAAGAAACATCAATGTATTAATTTTAGGGCAATGAATTTATTTCGGTTCTAAAGTATAGAACTAATAGTTCTCAGCTACATTACATACAAAAACATAGTTATTATGCTTCCATTTGGCCTTGTCTTTAAACTTTCTCATATAAACAGCACATTTTGTATGTTTCCGCAGCTCTTGATCTGATAAAGAATAAGGAAGTGAAAGCAATTTTGGGGCCAAGAACCCAAAATCTTAGGTAGGATAAAAATCTTAGGTGCCAATTATTTCATTTTCTGCAACGAGCCCTTTCCTAGACTCGGACGATAGTCCATATTTCTTTCGCTCTACTTACGACGACTCATCTCAAGTGCACGCCATAAGTGAGATCATAAAGGTGTTTGGTTGGAGAGAAGTGGTTCCAGTGTATGAGAACAATGCTTTTGGAGAAGGTATAATGCCTCGTCTTACTGATGCATTACAAGAGATTAACGTCCGAATACCATATAGGACTGTGATTTCTCCCAATGCAACCGATGATGAAATCTCCGCGGACCTTCTCAAACTGATGATCAAACCAACCAGAGTGTTTGTGGTCCATATGAATCAGTTGCTTACGTCAAGAGTATTTTCCAAAGCCAAGGAAACGGGTCTAATGACACAAGGGTATGCTTGGATTCTCACCAATGGAATTATAAATAATCTAGGTTTGCTGAACGAAACCGATATTCAAGCAATGCAAGGGGTAATAGGCATAAGGGCTCACTTTCCGATATCCGAAGAGCTTAAAACATTCAGATCAAGATTGGCAAAGGCATTCTCGGTTTCCGAGTTGAACATCTATGAATTAAGAGCTTATGATGCTACCACCGCGTTGGCAATGGCTGTTGAAGATGCTGGAACAACTAACTTGACCTTCAGCAAGATAGATGGAAGAAACATATCTAACCTGGAAGCAATTAGTGTCTCAGAATATGGTCCAAAGCTTGTCCACTCGCTCTCCGAGATTCAGTTCAAAGGACTTGCTGGTGATTACCATTTCATTGATGGAGAACTGCATGTATCAGGGTTTGAGATCGTCAATGTGATCGGCACTGGAGGAATGGTGGTAGGATTCTGGACGCAGAAAAAAGGACTGGTAAGAGATTTGAGTCCAAGTTCGGGAACTACGCGAACTTTCTCTACTTGGAAGGATCATCTTAACCCGATTGTATGGCCTTGCATTACCACTACTATTCCAAGGGGATAGGAGATACCAACAAACGGAAAAAAGCTGAAAATTGGTGTTCTTGTTGATACTTTCCCTTAGTTTGTAAAGGTTACAAAAGACCCTATAACCCATGAAACCAAAGTAACAGGATTTTGCATTGACTTCTTTGAGGCTGCAACTCAAGCAATGACATATGATGTCTCCCACATATTCATTCCTTTTGGAGATAATGACGGCAAACCTAACAGTAACTTCAACGACTTATTGTACCAAGTCTATCTCGGGGTGAGCCATGAGACCAATCTTCTTTTTTTTTACTCAACCATTGCTCTGAAACATTAATACTCCTTCTTGTGTCTGAGGCAGATATATGATGCTGTGGTGGGCGATACGGCTATATTGGCAAATAGGTCCTCCTATGTTGATTTCACTTTGCCATACACAACATCATGCGTGGGGTTGGTCGTCCCTCTAAAAGACAGGTCACAAGAAGTAGTCTGATCATTTTTAAACCTTTGACATTGGAACTTTGGCTAGTAACCCTTGGTTCCATTTTCATTGTCGGTTTTGTTGTGTGGATTCTTGAACACAGGGTGAACACAGACTTCACTGGACCTCTTCGGTACCAAATCAGCAATATCTTTTGGTTCGCTTTCTCCATCATGGTTTTTGCACCTAGTATCTTCCCTCCCTCCTCCCTCTTAACCAATCAATCTCTGTAGGACTAG